TTATGGTATAAAGAGGCGGTTGGCCGGTTGAACTTGAGCACACATACTAAGGTGACGTACGCATGCACGCGTGCGTAAGAGAACTGCTTGCGTGTATGATTGGATGGCCCCAAGGTTAAACTTTTGCAACCGTGCCAATGAGCTCGCAGCAATCTTGAACAGTTGACGCGATTGCTTAACCCCCAGCTGAGTTAGTCAAAGCAGTGCACAATGGCGGATGACGTTTCAAAATAGTATCTGTCGACTTTATTGTATCGAGTTTTTTATTGATAAATATGAAAGCTATGCAAGTTCCCTATCCCAAAATAGGCATTGCTTTTTTGATTTACGTCGTTACCAATGTAGTGCAGTCTCTCAAAGTCAGCCAATCAGAAAATGGGATTTTCAAGCTTCAGGAGATATGACGTAGTTTTATTTATCAAAAGTTGAAAATACAAGCGTTTTTACACTTCTTACGAACAAAATTTGAAGCATTGTTAATTTCGTTTACTGATGGATTTAAGTAGCACGAATTTAGGTAAAAACGTGCGAGAACTTTTTTGGGGACAGCGAGGCGCAGTAGTAAAATTATAGCGAATAGGTGCCTTTGGCTACACGTAAACGGCATGAAATTACATAACAGTCCCCGGTGTAACCTCGAATGAAAAAATGCAATCAAATGTGAAAAATTGGACAAATTGGGGGGAACCGATTCTGTCCTATTGGCTTAAAAGTGGTGGCGTAAAGTGGCATGAAATGCATTAGTGATTGCTCGCCGAATTCAATCCTATGCTTTAGTAGGACAAATGAACTACAGACACCTAAAAAGCAGCATTTTCACCTAGTTTGTACTGATTTTTCTGGTAAAATTTGATATGTAGCTCCCTTTTAAAATGGCCTTGACGTTTAGATTACTGTACAAATGCAGAAAACATGGAAAGTAATGTATGCCTGCATTAAAACATTAAAAGATCCTTTTTAAAAACCATGGTATAAGCGTAAAAATCCTGAAATAAAAGTAAGCTACCTGAAAAATCTACCCCATTTGGGATGCTTGATGCGCGCACTCGTGGCACCTCCCACTCACACATGATTTCGCATGACCCCGGAGCATGAATGGGCCAATCAGTAGCAAGCATTACGCATCGCGCGAGCCACGCGTGACTAATAACACTAATCCGATTGGCTTTGGAACGCAAAGTTCGGCTGCAACAGAAATCGTTTATTGTGATATCTTTTGCATCCGAAACCAAAATATGTCCGTTCTTATTCCCATATAAGCACTTAAATCCGACTTTTTTCTAATTATGCTATCGCTATTAATTCTGACATGAAAAATGCCCATATCTGCTTGTGTGCAGTGAACGCACATAATTACACACGCGTGCGTCCAATCAAAAATGAAAAATCGATAATATTGATTTAAATATTGACTTAAATCAATTTTTGGCGCCGTCAAAACCTCTGCATGACCATTATCAGTAACTGTGTCAAATTTGGTTGAAATCGGTTGAAAAATATAGGAGATCCGATCAAACATATAAACGAAAAACACACACGCACATTCTGCGTTATATATATATATATATATATATATATATATATATATATATATATATATATATCAACCCAAACAGATTAACAAACCACACCCGTTAGAATATGTGAAATAGAATAAATAAATAAAAAATTAAAAAAAAACATAATCAATAAACGCAAATAAATAAAGTAAATAATAAACAAATTAACAAACCATTATGACCAAAATATTAGTTAGACTATAAAAATGAAAGCAAAAATCGGACGAAAAAAATAGCTATAACTGTTAATATAACGATAAAAAAATAAATAATACGTTACTTAAAAATTGAAAACAGGAAAGTGTAAATAAAAATATACAGTATAATAAATAAATAATAAAAAACAAGTAAAAGAAATTAATCTAAATTCACCCAAATAAATAAATAAACCAACAAACCGATCCCGATAAAGTAACCGTTAAAAAAACAAATCAATCCAAATAAATACATGAAGTAATAAACAAATCAAAAATTGTTCCCGCCAAAATAATAGCTAGAATAAACTACAACAATCAACCCCAAAATTTAATAAATAGCTTTAATTATCTCCCCAAACCAAAACAAAACTATTAAATAAGCGATAAAAACAAATTTTTACTACGTTAATAAAAACACTGACTAATAAAGATAATAAATAAATAAATATATATATAAGATAAGAGATGAAAAAAAAAATAAAATAAAAACAAGCAAAACAATTTAAGCCAAATAAATAAACAAATAAATGACATCCGGTAAAATAGCCGCCAAAATAGACTACCCACAATGCACTACTGACCCGTATATATAAATAGCTGAGAAAATTAACAGCACTCGTGGCCTGACGATTGCATCTAGCATGAAACAGACTGTCGCCTCTAAGTGTTGACTTCTATGTTCACTTTTATATTTACACACGCTCTATCTCTGATATTGAGCACTTTATCCCATAAATATAGCACATCTTAAGACTATATTTCTTCATATATATATATATATATATATATATATATATATTCATGAATTATTCACACAAAAACAAATGCAAAGGTTAATGATTTAATTGGCGAGAAATCCATCGTCGCAAACAATTCAAATAATATACAAAAACCTCCGAATCCGTTATGAATGAAAAGATCCTTGTTTCTATAAATTTCTGCCGCATTAGTTCTTATTTTTACTACAAGCTTTCGTCTGTTCCTACAGACATGTTCAGGTATGGAATAGATGTTGTTCTTGTTTTTCTCTCAGTAATGAGAGGACAACGAAAAATATATGTATTGTTGTATCCGAAAATGCTATTGAAATGAGTTAATGTTTTTTTGGAGCGTGCAGTATATATATATATATATATATATATATATATATATATATATATATATATATATATATATATATATATATATATATATATATATATATATATATATATATATATATATATATATATATATATATATATATATATATATATATATATATATATATATATATATATATATATATATACATATATATATATACATGTGTATATATATGTATATATATATATATATAAACATCACTTCTAAAAAATATTAGGAATTAGTCAAACTTAAATATGAAATAAACGTTCCACTAATGTTAAATGCAGAGAATTATGGTAGACTTGTGAATAACACAGTGAACCAACTTTTCTAATAGCAGACCTAGCATTTGATTCAATATAATCGTTTCACTTCATATCATTTGAAAACTTTAGGATGAGAAAGCGCAATAAGTTATACTCCTTGAGGTGAGCACTAGCTATATGCTAATGGAAGGCAAAACCGTTTTTATCTTATACGTTAAAAAAGAACAGTTTTATTTTACAATCATTTAAACCAAGAAGCCATTTCTTCCCGCTGTTACAGAGAGAAGGTCATTCCAAGATCAGCTATCAATTTGACTTTATCAAATCTATCATACATACAATCAAGACAGAAATAAACTTTGTCATCAGCATAGATACTGATTCGGCAAGTGATGACATCGGGAAGTCGTTGATGAATATTATGAAGGAAGTGGGTTCAAGAATAGAGCTCAGCGTGAAACCAGTATTAATGTAAAAATATCTAGCGGGGAGGCTTTTCAAGATAAATTTAATTTCACGATTTGATAAAAATATTGAATGTAATAAATAATTTAGCAAGGAACATCGTGAACATGTGAAGAGCAATATTCGTGATATTCAAAGCAAGAGATCGAACTCACCATTCTTATCTAAAGCTTGACATACTATTTTGGTAATAACACTTAGTACATCGGCAGTTAGTGGGGCACGGTGGAATAATGGATAGTGGCTCGGATTGAGTAATCGGAGAGCCGAGTTCGAATTCCTGTGGAATCCATTACATTCGCTTACGTGGTAACACCCTTAATAACGATATGAATCCACTTCTTCTGAGTAAATAGCAAGACAGACCGGGTCTACCGCAGAAAGAAATGGAAGCAACTGCGGGAAAAAATATCTGCCTCGTCAGTCATGTGTCGAAAGATACATGCTTGCATAAGCGTGTATCACGCAGGGTTCATAACTGACTGACATCGGAAGTTGATGTAGAGAAGTGATACTTACAGAGGCGATGTGAAATGTTGAAGTAATCCGGAGTTGATTAGAGCCTCGAGTACTTTGTCAAAAATTGGTAAAATTCTAATAGGTTTGAAACATGAGAAGTTTTGCTCGAGGTCTTTAAAGCAAGAACTAAAGAAGATGATATCCATCGAGCTGGAAAGTCAACAAGGCAGCTATTGTAAGATTTATAGAGAACAGGAACTAACGCAGGAGGAAATTCTTTAGGACATTTGCATGGATACAATTAATTCCGCTTATTTTTTTTTTTATTTTTTGGTGGAAGGGGAATTCAGTTTAAAGATGATAGCAAAGATCAGGTATGGTGTTATATACATATCGCAGAGTAGAGATTTAGTTTTAGTGGGATTTCAGGCAAAGATACTTCAGATGAATCAAGAGTAAAATTGGAAGAGAATGTATAGGCAAATCATTTTGTTTTATGAGCAAAAAATGTTAACATCGCAAAGTGAGTAAAAAGAAGTGAGATAGAAGACTTTACACGCTACTATATTACGGTAACAGCAAAGACTTAAGCTCATTAAGGACATGTTGGCAATTATTGATAACAGACAGGCGTTCGTTGTAATCAGAGCTATCGCTGTGTTATAGCCGAAATAAAGTGATTCATGTGGGCTATAGTGGCTTAACAGGCAGATGTGAAGCAATAAGAAGATTGCAGTTTCCTCCGATATTTCTGAGGTGGCGCAAAAGCTGTTGGGATTTTCCACGGTCTCGTGTGTATTTGTGCTCGGCAGTTTGAGTGGAATGAACAAAAAAGCCAAAAGTTTGAAAATAACTGTTCAACAGCTTTTATTTGTTTGAAAAAAGAGTGCAAAATAGTAGTAATTTGCGGGGTAAAAAGGGTAGTTTTCCCGTTAAAAATGTTCTTTTGTGTTGTAATGGTTTTTATTGAGAGAGAAAGTTCCCACGGTGAAATCCAAGTGCTACGAAAACACTTGTTCTTTTGCAGCAAGGGTTGTGTGTAGTTTCTTTTGCTTGGTGTTTCAAAGAGAGAGTTCTCCGTCGGATTCCGTAGGAGGAACGAGAATTCTTATTTCAAGCGGCAAAGACAGACCTCGTCTTCTGTATCAAAGGTTGCGTGTAGCCTTTCGGTAGGTGTCTCGAAGGGAGAGGCCGCTGAATGTGATAAATGGAAAAAGAGACCTGACAGTGAGCTAGGGGCCGCTGAAATGTATGATGAGAGAGAGAGAGAGAGAGAGAGAGAGAGAGAGAGAGAGAGAGAGAGAGAGAGTGTATGTAGAAACAGCTGAAATTGAATGAAAAAGCCAAATAGGGCTCGATTAAGGCTTTTATAATCTCAGGGACTTCCGGTTCTATCCTGTTGATTATTTCCGCTGTTGTTGAATCAAAGAAAGTAAGGAAGCCTCCAGATGCCACAATAGCCAACAAGTGAGATAGCTTTTATATCTCCCCCTCAGAAATGAACGCTATAAAAAAATTATTTTGCGTGATACATTATCCTAATCGTTAGCATGTAGAAATAAATGCATATCTAAGTTTACAGCTCTAAGTTTTATTAAGCTTATATGTAAAAATGTGAAAACCTCATGTTTTGACGGTTAGATAGAATCAACTGTTTACTACGATATTTTTTTTTAACTTGAACTAGATGCATAAAATAGTTATTTTAAGCGATTAATTAAATCAGGTGTTAGTGAAAGATTTAGTGAATGTCTTCTTTTTCGATTGTCTCTTAGGGAACGCCTCAGAGTCTTTGTGTTGGATTCAGAAGGTTGTTTGGGATCATGGCATGGATCTACAAGCACCTTTAGTGTTCCAGGAGTTTAATTACTATCTTCAGAAGAGGTGTTAGGTTGGGTGATATGTGTTGTCATCACTAATAATGAGCTCCAGAACTCTATGTTTTGGGAGGGTTTTTAACTAAAGACATTCTCAACTTGTGGGACTCCGTCGGTTAAGCTGGCCTCATGTAAGTCTTTGTGATACTCCCTCAGTAACAGCAAATATTCCAACATGTTTTCCATGTGGTTTATGCTAGGTTAGGTTGCTTTATTTAGCAAAGGAGCCTCTTTAGTCGTAAGCAGACAATTATGAACAGGCCGTTTTTCGGAAGTTGTTTGGCTAACAGATATAAACACAAGTATATGACACATCCAAATATAGTCTTCAATCCTGTCGAGGAGACATCTGATCTATGAAGACCGTTCCTTCTTGCTTGTTAAATTCTTCAACATACAGATTCTGCCGTTTTAAGTTTTTAACAACTCCATTCTGTACATTGATGGCCACAGCACGGTTTGAAAGGACAGAGTTATTTTTTTTTTCTTTCTCACAAGGCAATTTATACAATATCAATTCTCTATAGATTTTTGAAACTGCTCAAGTCTTTCTTTGTCAAATTCACTAACGGGGTCTTCTTCATTTAAGTCATATTATGTTTTAATCAATTAAATATCTGTCAATGTAGATGACATTCTTAAAGTGTCAGAATCACAAAGAGAGTTTGAAATTTATGAATTGTCATGTTCGATGAAGCTACAAGTCATATTACAAGTAGCTAATATTGTTCGGTATAAGAATACTGTCAAGGTTTTATCAACCAGAGAGCCGAAAGTTTTAAATTTTTCATTTACAAAGTAATTACTTGATATTTTATCAGTTTCTAGCAGATATCTATTATTGGTAGATATAATATTATATCTCGATGTATTATCACGAAGAGAGTCTGTAATGTTAGAATTTTCATTTGCAACAACATCATCTGATATTTCATCAGTTTCAAGAAAATATCCATCATTATTAGATATAATAATATATCTCAATATATTATCAAGAAGAGAGTCCGAAATTTCAGAATCTTCATTTGCAACGGCACTTGATATTTTGCCAGTTTCAAGCCAACATCTAGTATTATCAGATATAACACTATCTCACAATGTATTGTCACACACACACACACACACACACACACACACACACACACACACACACACACACAGAGAGAGAGAGACAGAGAGAGAGAGAGAGAGGTCTGCTGTTCAAGTTCGTTGTTCCAGCAATTAGAATCCGGCTCAAAATGGTGGACTATATCAAGATGTCATTTAATATATCAAAGCGATAGTGTGCCTCACAAACATTTTCCTTTTGAATATGTTTCATGTCAAAATCTAAATCGATACAAATATCAGTTATTTCATCCGTGAAAAATTCTACACTTAAGATTCTTTTTTTATGGACAAAAAGTATTTTGGTACACATGTTTTGACCCTTATTTTCATTAAATTCAGGGTAGCGTCAATTTTATACTTGAATTGAGAACGTTTTTTTTGTTCAATTTATAAATGGTGTCAATTTCTATGGCTGAATTTATCAATAATCTTAAATGGA